GATTGAGTGAGTGTGTGTGTGAGTGTGTGTGTGTGTGTGTGTGTGTGTGTGTCAGTTGTTTCAGGGAGTGTTAAATAAAGAGGATTGTGTTCCTGACGCTCTGAAGACACTGTTGAGTTCCACCTATGAGCCGCTACATTCCCACCACACACACTTCCTCCAGGAGCTCGAGGAGAGACTGTCACTGTGGCGAGTAACACACACACACACACACACACACAGATCGATCAGGTTTCAGTCTACAGTCTCGACAGTAAGCTGAGTTCGAGTGATGGTTACAGCAGTGGTATTGACAGTTTTCAGTATAATCATCATCATTAGGGTCATTCGAGCGTTTGAGAGACTGAAGCTTGTGTGTTAGTGTTGTTCACATGAGTGTGTGTTTTTAGGATAAACTATATTTGTAGTCAAGGGTCATGAGTACGAAGGCTGAGTCTTATCCTGCACCTCAATCTGCATAATATCTGTTGTAAATAGTTTATGAAATTAGAAAAGTGTCCCAGATCGTAATATGGTGAAAATAGTAAGATTAAGATTCCTGGATGGTTTACATTTTTTTCTGTTTTTTTTTTGGGCTATTATTGCCCTTTTGGCCAACTAAGTCCAGTTTTTGACAATTCGATTTCACAGAGGAAGAAAAAACAGATTTATGAACAGTAATAAATGAATCTAGATCTATGGTAGGGACCCTTTTGACAGACTGATGGCACATTTAAAGACACTGTAAACACTGTAAATCTTTTTATATATATATTTGTATTATTTCTTTATTTAATGTACATTATAACACTATACTTTTTGTTTTAATAAAAAAGATAATAATAATAATAATGAGAATAATTTTTCTTCAGATCAGTATTATTTTAGCATTTTTGATATTCTATTATATATTTAATTTAATAGTTTGAATTAGATTTTATTTTTATAATTTTGGCTTTCACTTTAATTTTAAAGTTTTTGTAATTTTGTTGTGTGTTTTTGATAATTTTTATTTTTTTTATATATATATTTTTATATAGTATTCATTAATTGTAGTTTTAGTTTATTTTAGTGCTTAAACTAAACAAAAATGAGAAATGTTGCCCAATGTTTTTTTTCTGTTAATTTTATTTTAAAAGAAATAATAATATTATGATTAATAATAATAATAGTGGGTGATGTTTCTTCAATATAGATTTCAATTTAAAAGCTTCATTGTTTTTTTATTTTAGTTTTGTATTTTGCTGTGTTATTTTTGTATAATAGAGATGGTATTATACTTTCTATTAATATTTTGAATTTGGTTTTATTTTTGTTTTCCTTTTTCTCTTTAATTTTAAAATTTTTGTAATTTTTATTATTTTTTTTTTTTTTTTTTTTAAATATGTTTATATAGTATTCATTAATTTTAGTTTTAGTTTATTTTAGTGCTTAAACTAAACAAAAATGAGAAATGTTGCCTTGTCAACTAGCTGAAATAAAATAAGTTTAAGACTGTTTTTTTTTTCTGTTAACATTTATTTTGTTTCAGGTAATTGAGATGTTTTATGGTTTTAGTTTTAGCTGTTGGAACAAATGGGAAAACAAAATTAGGTTAAAATGTATATTATGGTGTCCTTGTTACAGTGTAATTATTCAGTTAAGTACTGAGTAATTTAATTAACAACATGTACTTACGATTAGAGTTTGGTTTGGGGTTAGTTGCTTGTAATTATGCATAATCTACTGTTATTACTATAGTAAGTACATGTAAGGTGTAACAAGGACACTGTAAAATAAAGTGTTCACAAAAATGGTATGTGCTATGGTCTCCTTTTCACCTCAGATGTTTACTGTCCACGGTCCTGTAGAGTCTAACACCAACTCTAATCAAACAGAGCTCAACAAGCTAGCAATCAAGCTCTTCATGAGTGCTAGACAGTTACAAGCAGATGAGTGTTTGATCTTGTTTAGAGCTAAACTCCGCAGGACTTTGAGGACCAGATCTGAGAAACTGCTTTAGTGAATAATGTAATTATGCAAATTGGTGCGCAGCCTTTCAGCTCTACTCAGAAAACATCATTAGTCTGGAGTCTATATGTGATCGCCACCTGCTGGTCAAACCACACCATTACTCAGTAACTAATGGTTAAAGTGTGTACAATAAGTTGAAGGTGTAGTTTATCACCCAAAAATAATAATTCTGTCATCATTTACTCACCCTCATGTCATTCCAAACCTGACTTTCTTGCTTCTAGGGAACTCAAAACTCAATATTTTGAATGTATTTGTAATGTGTTTTAGGGAAGGCCGATGCAATACGGAGGTTAAAGGAGAAATGCAGCGTATAGGAGACCTGCTGGTGAGGAGTGCACAGGAGCTGAAGGTGATTCTATGTGTGTGTGTGTGTGTGGTGTTGTGTGTGTGTGTGTGTGTGTGTGTGTGTGTGTGTGTGTGTGTGTGTGTGTGTCTGTGTGTGTGTGTGTGTGCGTGTGTGCGTGTGTGTGTGTGTGGTAGATGGTTTGTTATCGGTCATGTTATTGACAGTACTGTGTGTTTGTGATTCTCCAGGCTCTCTCAGCTCAGCTGCAGATGATCTCCGAGTGTGTGTTTGCGCTGGAGAGAGCGTGTGTCACGTCCCGCAGGCTGGAGTGTGTGTGCCGTGAGTTTGAGCTGCAGAAGGTGTGTTACATTCCTCTGAACGTCTTTCTGCTGAGTCCCCTCCATCGCCTGCTGCACTACAGACAGATACTAGACAGACTCTGCGAACACTACCCACCGACACACACCGACTACAGCGACTGCCGAGGTGCGTGCGTGTAACAGTGTCTGTGCTAATGTTTTGGAGAAATGTTCCCTGAAGACAGCTATATCTGAAAACAACTTGCTTTTGGGGATGTCCTCAAAAGAAAGAAAAAAATGCTTCATAAGGGTATTTATTTTAAAATGGCCAAAAGTTGTATTTTAGGGCTAAATTATAGGAATGAAAGAGCTGTAAAAATAAATGGGAAGTCCCTATTTAGATACAGAGGAGCTAAAATGTTTTCTGTATTTCTTCATAAATTTGACCTATATTGAGGTCAAATTAAAAAAGTGCACTTAAATAATAATGCAATACTTTCTGTCATAAAAGAAAAATGTATAATTTTGACCCATACAATGTATTGTTGGCTATTGCTACAAATATACCCCAGCGACTTAAAACTGCTTTTGTGCTCCAGGGTCACATAGGTGTTTGTGTGTGTTCTAGCTGCTTTAGACGATGTGTGTGAATTGGAGGCTGCGCTTCGTCCTGGTCTGGAAGAGATTGAGAACTATCAGAAACTCCTGGAGCTTCAGAAGGATTTGATTGGTGTTGAGCATCTGGCCGTGGCTGGACGTCAGCTCATCAGACTGGGCTGCCTCAGCAAACTCTCTGGGAAAGGCCTTCAACAGCGCATGTTCTTCCTGGTGAGATTTCAGCGCACACATCTATGTTTCATATGATATAGGGACCTATTGTTCTTAAAGGATAGATCAAATTACAATCATGTCATCATTTACTCCCCGCATGTTGTTACAACCCTGTATGAGTGTCTTTCTTCTGTTGAGCTCAAAAGAAGATATTTGGAAGAATGCTGGTAGCCAATCAATTGCTGGTAGCCATTGACTTCCATAGTATTGTTTTCTATACTGTGGAAGTCAGTGGTTACCAGCAACTGTTTGGTTACCAACATTCTTCAAAATATCTTCTTTTAAAGAATGCTTGTAATTCTGAAAATTCTAATAATTATATAACTAACTCAAGGCCTAATACTAAACTCTCTTCATATGGGCCAGAGAGCTCTCAGATTTCATCAAAAATATCTTAATTTGTATTCCGAAGATGAACGAAGGTCTTACGGGTTTGGAACGACACGAGGGTAATTAATGACAGAATTTTCATTTCTGGGTGAACTATCCCTTTAAGTGAATGCAGTTTTTAAGGACACTTAATTGCATGTTAATTATGAAAATGTATTAGTTTTGATTTATATTAAATGCAATTAGCTGAACTTTTCAGTGCTTTTATGACCCACTTAAGTTTTGTGTATTTCCATTATTACTTTTATTACTGGCAAGAATTTTTGTTAAAAGAATATATACGTTAACGTCATTTCATTTGAAACTTGTATGTCAATCATTTAGCAATTTTGTACTTTGAAAATAAATTAACTTTTAATATGTGACCCTGGAGCACAAAACCAGTCTTAAGTCGCTGGGGTATATTTGTAGCAATAGCCAAAAATACATTGTATGGGTCAAAATTATCGATTTTTCTTTTATGCCAAAAATCATTAGAATATTAAGTAAAGATCATGTTCCATGAAGATATTTTTTAATTTCCTACCGTAAATATATTAAAACTTAATTTCTGATTAGTAATATGCATTGCTAAGGACTTAATTTGGACAACTTTAAAGGCGGTTGTCTCAATATTTATTGAGTATATATATATATAACAATATGAATAAAATAAAATTATAATATTTGGATTTTTTTGCACCCTCAGATTCCATACATCAAACCATACATCAATGGAAAGCTTATTTATTCAGCTTTCAGATGGTGTATAAATCTTAATTTCGAAAAATTGACACTTAAGACTGGTTTTGTGGTCCAGGGTCACATATGGAATAACACACCATTTACAATTATAATTAAGTACTTTACATGTGCTTTAATATGTTAATTAACACCTCAAAACAAGTGTACTTCTTCAAAGTACAAAAGAATACACAAGACTCAAAAGATTATTAAAACATAATGATTTAAAATCTACTTTGAAGTAAAACTTTTAATTTGACATTTTTACAAAGGGCACTTTGTTTTTTTTTAAAGTTTACTTTATTTCATTAATATTATATTATCTGCAACTACAGTTTTTTTTTAACAAATGTATTTTTTAAAGGTCTGAAGTACACTACAAGTGCACATTCAATACAATTAAGTGCATTTCTTTTTCACATGTTCTTCCACAGTATATCAGCTGCTTAATCAGGAACTTACAGAAGTCTATAGGAGTCCGAATATGTTGGCAAATGTTTCAGTAATGCGGTAACAAATGCTAAGCAAAGTTTAGGGAGCACATAGTAGCATGTTTTAGCACAATTACGCGTCTCAAGATACAGTAAATGTTTTTCCCAGAATCCTCAGGGGCGTCTGAAGTGGAGTCAGAAGATGATCTTTGTGGATCTCGAACATCTTTGCCTCGAAATGGCAACAATTCAGGAAACACTCTCAACCGTGGCAACACGACAGCACACGTGTGCTGGCATCGCAACACCAGTGTTTCCATGCTGGACTTCAGCATCGCCATAGAGGTACCAGTCCTCCATCTGCTCATCTCTGTGTTTGAGTATGAAAATGCTGTAACACAGTTTGGTCGTCATCTTGACTGTGTCTGACAGAACCAGCTCTCAGGAAATCTGCTCCGAAAGTTTAAAAACAGTAATGGCTGGCAGAAACTCTGGGTGGTTTTCACCAACTTCACCTTGTTCTTCTACAAAACACACGAGGTAAAACGCTAACAGACACACACTGCCATATCCTCTGTGAATGTGTGGTATGTGTGTGAAATGTCTGGACTCGCGCTCATTTCTCTGTTGACTGTTCTGTCTGTAAGGATGAGTATCCGCTGGCCAGTCTGCCGTTGTTGGGTTACTCAGTAACACATGCCGGCGAGTCGGAAAACATCCATAAAGATCACGTCTTCAAACTGCATTTCAAATCTCATATCTACTACTTCAGAACAGAGAGTGAATACTTTTTCGAAAGGTACAGCAAAACTCATTATTCTTCCAAGAGATATAGTACACCTTGCAAACTACACTGAAAAAAGATACTTTGAATCAACTAAAAAATACTTTCAAATACTCAGTTTCTTAAAGACAAATGTATTTGTTTTTCTCAAATTATATTTAAATTCTAAATTATATTTAATATATTTAAATATATTTAAAGTAAAATTTTGATTTAAATAATTTTTTTCCACCGAAAGATGATACACTCTTAAAAATGCTGGGTTAAATACAACCCAGCACTGGGTAGAATGTGGACAAACCCAGGGATTGGGTTGTTTTCAACCAACGGTCGGGTTAAATGTTTAACTCAACCTTCTGGGCAGTAACCCAACCGCTGGGTCAAAACAACCCAATCTCTGGGTTTGTCCACATTTTACCCGGTGCTGGGTTGTATTGAACCCAGCATTTTTTAGAGTGTAATATTCATACAAAGTAAAAGATCATTTATTATAAAGACCATTCTTAATCAATATATTTTCTTTAGAAGCAAGCCAAAATGTTACATTATGTAGGTCAATATAATAATTTTCTGGCCTTTTCAACTTAATTTCACCATAAACAAAAGCTAAATTAGCTGTAATATGTGTTGTGGCAAACTGTTGGTTGCTCTTGCTCCGCCCCTCCTAACTAGAGTGCACTAGCCAGAGTGCACTAGAACTCACCAGTGAGAGAACACCACCAGGTGAAAGTTAATCAATTAATTAGCAGGGCAGAACAGACTCCATGTATCCAACTCTCTAAATTAATTTAACAAGCATTTATTGATAAGAATAAGGTGTATGGTAAGTTTGATCTTGGCTGACTAGATACGCTACACTGCTGAGCGAGTATGAAGACTTGATACACCTGCTCAGACATAAAGATATTAGGAAACATGCTGCTGCAAAAGGTAAAGAAGAACCCCTCATAGCAGATCTAGACAGGTGGTGCTGGGGAGGAGGAGGGCTAAAAATGAGAATTCTCATAGCTTGTGCAGAGACCGTGCACTGGCTAGCTTAGTAGCAGTGGCTTGAACAAAGGAAAGATTTGTTTTGTGCAGAGTTAAGCCTACTACAACAAAATGAAGAAGCAGCCGGTGAGCTTTAATATTTTGTTATTTTTGTACTTGGGTTGTTTTGTTGAATTGTGTTGTATCTGAATATTATTATTATATATTTTTTTGTATTATTTTGGTTTGTGAATTAGGTGTGGTGTTCACCTGCTTGACTAAATGACTGGCTGATTGATCACTGCATCCAAAAATGTGAAAAAATATAAGAAAGCAAAGTATGGTCAATGAGTGGAATCCGGTCGAATTCTTCTTATCTGTTTTCTGCACACTGAAACTTTGTAAATGGTGAAACCACTTGACAATATGAAAGCAGAATTTTCACTTAGGACAAAACTAAAAACATTTAGTTAAATTTAATTTGCTTACTATAAATAAAACTTCACAAGACCTTAATGTTCATTGTGATGTTTTTTTTTTTTTTATATATATATATATACATATCTAGACAGGTGGTGCTGGGGAGGAGGAGGGCTAAAAATGAGAATTCTCATAGCTTGTGCAGAGACCGTGCACTGGCTAGCTTAGTAGCAGTGGCTTGAACAAAGGAAAGATTTGTTTTGTGCAGAGTTAAGCCTACTACAACAAAATGAAGAAGCAGCCGGTGAGCTTTAATATTTTGTTATTTTTGTACTTGGGTTGTTTTGTTGAATTGTGTTGTATCTGAATATTATTATTATATATTTTTTTGTATTATTTTGGTTTGTGAATTAGGTGTGGTGTTCACCTGCTTGACTAAATGACTGGCTGATTGATCACTGCATCCAAAAATGTGAAAAAATATAAGAAAGCAAAGTATGGTCAATGAGTGGAATCCGGTCGAATTCTTCTTATCTGTTTTCTGCACACTGAAACTTTGTAAATGGTGAAACCACTTGACAATATGAAAGCAGAATTTTCACTTAGGACAAAACTAAAAACATTTAGTTAAATTTAATTTGCTTACTATAAATAAAACTTCACAAGACCTTAATGTTCATTGTGATGTTTTTTTTTTTTTTTATATATATATATATACATATTTTCTGAAAAAATAATAAAACCCCAAATAATTTCTGTAGTCATTATAGCTTTCTGCACATTAACGATCTGGTGTCAAGAAAAACAAATACTGTTGGAACACATTTTTTATTTTATTTATTGTATTTTTTATTTTAAACCAGAAATCATGATTATCAATCTTTTTTTTTATATATATATATATACATATTTTCTGAAAAAATAATAAAACCCCAAATAATTTCTGTAGTCATTATAGCTTTCTGCACATTAACGATCTGGTGTCAAGAAAAACAAATACTGTTGGAACACATTTTTTATTTTATTTATTGTATTTTTAATATTTAAATCATGATTATCAATCTGACTGATATAAAAATGCATTTTGTCTTTTGCAAGGTAAATGTGACCCTTACCCCCCGGTTTCACAGACAAGGTTTAAGCCTAGTCCCAGACTAAAATGTAAGTCTGAGCTGTTTCAACCGAAAGAAACTTGCACTGATTGATCTTGAAATATGTCAGTGCCCTTGTTTTGTCTCAAGATGCACACCAATAATGTTTTTTCTAAGGCATAATTATAAAAATTACTTTAAAGGGGTCATATGATGCGATTTCAATGTTTCCTTTCTCTTTGGAGTGTTACAAGCTCTTGGTGCATAAAGAAGATCTGTAAAGTTGCAAAGACTAAAGTCTCAAATCCAAACAGATATTCTTTATAAAAGTTAAGAGTCAGCCACACCTACCTAAAACGGCTCGTTCTAACACGCCCCCACATGTCTACGTCACGATGTGCGAAGATTTGCATAACACCGCCCAAATGTTCACACAAAGAAAGAAGGAGTAACTTTTATTCTCGCTGTAGTATTGTTGCCGCCGCCATGTCGTCGTGAAGACGCTGTGTGCCTCATGTGAAAGCGAAACTACTTTGTTTGGCCTTCCAAAAGAGGACGATATCCGCTTCGTCATGCCTAGAGCTGATCCGTGCTGGTCGCTGAGACAATACATCAACTTTGCGCTGTGGATCGCCGGATCGGCTTTCACCGTTTTCACCGCTCCTTCATCGGATCCGCCGGGACCGCCGTTCTCGATCCCGCCGCCTCAGCTCACTCTTGCCCGGCTTCAGCTCAGGCTAAGCCGGGGCTTTCGCTCACGCTAGGCCGCTATGTTTTTTGTTGTGAAAGCGAAACTACTTTGTTTGGTCTTCCAAAAGAGGACACAACTAGAAATCAGTGGTTAAGTTGTATTTACAACACTGTTCCAGAACACTTCAACCCAAATATTCAGATGTGTGCAGCACATTTTATGGAGGACTGTTTACTGATCCTGGGAGAGTAACGTTAGACTAAAATGCCAGCAGTTCTGACTCACGTAAGTACGTTTTCATTTAAAGGATTTGCCACTGATGATTCAAACGCGAGTTTTGAGCAGTGTAGAGTAGCGCTTGTTGTTTGTCATTTCTCCGATCACAAATGCAGACATGGTTTTATGTTTACGCAGCGCAAGGCAATGCGTAAAAAGACAGTATAAGTCATTATAATCAGTAATTATGTCCCCACTGGATGCAACAAATGCCTCGTTTGTAATGGGTTTTAATGTTTTTGTGCTTTTTCAGACTGATGAGCTTTGTAAAAATCGACGCGTTTCAGAAAGGCGGGGCATAGAGGAGAAACAATAATGTACAGTATGTGGAAAATAATGTGTTTTTTTTAACCTTAACATAAACGCATTTCATTACACCAAATACACAAAATAATGTTCTTTTTAGCAACATCATATGAACCCTTTAAAATCCTAACTGAACTATGGCCTAGTCCTGGCTTAAGCTAAGCCCCGTCTGTGAAACCGGACCTTAATGTTATAAAGTGTTGATGTATAGTAAGATTTTGATGTCTGTGTAGATGGATGACGGTGATCAGAAGTGCTACAGTCTCTGCCAGCAGAACCCGCTATCTGAACCGGACAGAACCGGACTGAACCTACCATGTGAACCAGGCTGAACCCTACTGAAACTGCCATCTGACCTGGACAGAAAAAAACATAAACCCACAGACCCATGCAGGCATATAGGGAGCAACCATCTCCGTGTGTTTGTGCTTTTATGACAACGTCACTTTTTTTTAGTGACTGACGTTTTTTTTAATAGCATTGTTTCATAGTATGACGTTAAAGGGGAATGTCGCCATTTCACTTCTGAGCCTTTTAATAGACACTCTTCAGTTCAAATATCAGCCTCGGGCAAGTTTTTTTTGTTTCCTATTATTTGTATTTTTGCTGAATTACTTGTAAGAAACAGAAATAATATGTAAGGTGCTTAAACTGCATCAGTGACATTAAAGTTTTATTTTAAAGGAGAAAATCAGAGAGTAAAACAGCAAATGATAAAAGATTTCACACACCTGGAGAAGTACAGAGATCACCATTGTGCCCTTAAGGACAGGTGATGCTGGTGAGATTTCAGATAAAAGGTGCTTACAAATCCTTAGTGAGATGTTCACAAAAACTGCATTGTGTTTCATAAAATGGCCTCAAATATTGAAAGGTGCTACTGTGTGTTCACAGGACGTGTTAGTGTTGGGTGTGAATAGGACATAAGGTTAACTGAGGTTTATTATAAGGTTTATTTATAGCATGTGTTGACATACTAAAGTCTTCATCTTGAGAAACTAAAAGGAAAAGTGTTAATAAAGGCTCAGAGATGAAGAGAGGTGGAATTCCCCTTTAACCTCATGGCATTCCCCATAAACACACAGGTGCTTTTTAATGTTTGTGTTTTGTCCTCTAGTGTAACAAAACATGAAAACGTGTTTCCTGCATTTTTTTTAACTGGGCTTTTACAGAATCTCATTTTGTAAATGATATTTAATTGTAAGTGTAAGCCGTAAGTGTCACTTGTTGTCTTTAAAAGGAGGCAGATCCATTTCAGTGCCATGGTTTTTATAGTACAGGTTTCTATGTGTTAGACTTTGTTTCTATCGGCTGAAACCATGTTGGGTGCCAGAAGCCAATGTGCCAAAATCATTCTGTTTGTTAACATTTTGGACTGAATAATGTAGAAGCATTGCAAATTTGGGATTTAAAGGCAAGTTATAAAATACACAAGTACATTTCGTCAACCGAAAATTATATTGATGGAGTTCAAGTGCCATTAAGAGCATAACACACAAAAGGTATTTTACACTATGTTTATTTCCATCAGCATGTAACATTTGGTAATGAAGAAAGGATATTTTGTTATTCAAGGTTGTAAGAAGATTGACGCCCCTCACTGTCATTTTAGAAAAATAATTTTCACCAAACTAAGAAGTAGGCAGCACCGTATAAACCACAACTGCATATTACAGGTTAGTTTAGTCCACAGAAGAGGTCAAGCTTTAAAATGTGCAGAAAAACATGATGTTTTAGTTTCATACAGCCCAAACACTACTAAAATGAATGGAAAAAGACAAAGAGAGAGAGTTTATTGGAAATGAAAGCAATAAAACCTCATTCCAGAAAGTGGTCAACTTCTGTGGTCTTTCTGCATTACACTGGTCAGCAGAGGGCGATACTACATCACCAGTGTGAGGCCATTAACCAATAGAAAATCAAGAGTTAAACATTATTATATACAGGCCTATACACATATATGCAGTAGAATACAATAATATATGATATTTTAGTGTATATGGGTGATTCTGTTTGGTTATCATGGAAGTGAGAGGGAATCGTTTCTGCCGCCAGAGTAGCAGAAAGACTTTTTGGAGTTTAGAAAATGAATTAATGTATTTAAAAATATTAAAATAGCTTAATAAGAATAATAATAATCAAGAATCGGCTAAAACACATCTCTTCCATTTTTATTTGACCCTCTAACTCTAGCAGTCTCTATTCTAATTCTATTTTTTTTAACTTGCCCCTTTTAGACTTGCACTCTATTCATTTACTAACTGCTTGTTTTCTTAAAAAAAAAAAAACACTAGCTTCTCTATTCTTTTTGTATTCTATATTGGCAATTTGTTTTCTTTTTATTTATTATACAATTAACAAAAAGCAAAAAAAGGGCCTCTAACACTAGCTTGCTCTATTCTTTTTCTATTCTATCTGTTTTCTTTTTATTTATTATATAATTAAAAAAACACTAGCTTCTCTATTCTTTTTGTATTCTATCTAGGCTATTTGTTTTCTTTTTATTTATTATACAATTAAGGCCTCTAACACTAGCTTGCTCTATTTATTCTTTTAAATGTAATATTTTTTTCATTTTTGAACGCTATTTTAAAACACCATTACTAAACCACTCAACAGAACATTTTCATTCTTTTTTACTCTCTTCAAAGATGGGAAATATGGTCACACTCATCTCTGAGCCTTTTATTTATATATAATCACTATTATATTAAAAAATATAAAAATTATACAGAAATAAAACATATCACGTTAAAATATTGATTGATTGATATGTGAGAGATGTTTTTAACACCATTAGCAAACCACTCAGCAGCCTATTTAGTGAATTTGAATTCAGAAACAATCCATTATTTTTTTTCTTGTAAAAAGGTAAGATATTTATAAAAGGATCAAATAAATAAATTAGGTAGTTTGAGGGTAGTTAGAATTAAGGTACACTCTAAAAAATGCTGGGTTAAATATAACCCAGTGCTGGGTAAAATAGGGACAAACCCAGCAACTGGGTTGTTTTGACCCAGCGGTTGGGTTACTACCCAGAAGGTTGGGTTAAACATTTAACCCAGCCGCTGGGTCAAAACAGCCCAATTGCTGGGTTTGTCCCTATTTTACCCAGCACTGGGTTATATTTAACCCAGCATTTTTTAGAGTGTAGTCACACTTCAGTGCGTTGTGTTCACACTTGCCATCTGGTGCTCTTACTAGAGAGGATTTCCTTACATTGTCTTGTAGCGTGTAAAGCGGAGCTCTAATGAGATTTCACACACAGGTATGGCCCTCCCGCTGAGATTTACCCCATTATATTACTGCTGGCCCCTCAGAACACACTGACTGATGCTCGTTTGATAAGAGAAAATGAAACGATAAATACGGAAAAAAAAATTCTGAAAGTCATTTGACTTGTGAAATTACGTAAATCATGTACTTTGTAGTATGTAGGCTATATGTATTTAACTAAATACCAGTCGCGAATTAACGATTCCTACTATGGCGAACTCTTAGCTCATTAATATGAATAGAATTACGCGCACGTTGCGTGAAGGCCGGTTCATGAATAATGAATACGTTTCTTGGAACCTTCCCGTGACTACTGGTGGATTTCGGCTTTGCTCATGAATATTAAGCAGCAAGACTTGGTCGTAGTAGAGTTCGTAAAGTCGCTATCTGGACAGGGGAGGGAGTAGAGACGCTACGGGATTAAACCTCCCACAAACACACTGACATGAGACCATGAAAGCACGGGAAAGCGTTTCATTTAGACCGCCAACACTTTCTGGAGACTTTAAAGCACTGGAAACATGGACTAAAGCATCCATCGCGTTCATCTGAACATGAGAGTTAACGGCGGGACAAGCGGAGGGCTTTTAGGAAGGATTTTTATATCACAGGCGCTCGCAAAGGTAGTCGGGACAGCGGAGAAAACAGACTTTTAATGTGTTTAATTGTTTTATTTACACGTCTGCTGTAAATTAATGAAAGTTTGTAGCTCGACATGTCAGTCCCGAGCCATGTGGAGACGCGTAAGTTCACCCGGGGGCTCGGTAAACCGGGCACGGCGGCGGAGCTGCGGCAGAGTGTGTCGGAGGCGGTCAGGACGTCGGTTTTAGTGGTGAGTAAGTTATACCCGTTTGTGATGTCGTGTAGCGGTTAAGAATTAGAACTTATTACTGCAGGTTGCGGGTTCGAACCTCGGTCATAGGCGAGGTCGAGGTAAAATGCATAACCTCGACACTGACATAAAGACACTGACCAAGTGAAACTTTGTATAAAAATCAGGTAAAGGTTGATTCATCTGTATGCTATTGTAACTTGTTGGTTTTATGTCATTGTCGTGTCACATCCCTCAGACCTAATGTAGATAAATAGTCTCAGAGTCAAATCAGGCTTCAGGTGGTTGATTGTTTGGCCCAATTTTATACATTTTCTTTTCTTATTAATTAAAGGACAGTTCATAGACTACACAAGTGTTTTTGTAGGAAGAAGTAATATGTGCTTTGTTGTGTGTGTGTGTGTGTATGTAATGTTGTCCTGAATGATGGTTCCAACTTTCCTTGCACATTGTTTGGATACAGAAATCAAGCGTAGTGTCAGTTCTGGCAGGTCACGTTAGTCAAGCTCGCATTAGTTGACTCTCAGCTGATCCACGTCTACCTATAGGGATGTGACATCTATCACAGCACCCATATATAAGATCCTTCAGTATTATCACCAGCTTTCGCGTTGCTCAATAGCTAATTATCCTCCTCCATCCCCAACTCCACCTCGCGACAGTCAGGATTCGGCCTTCTGATTCTCCTTTGAATCAGACTAATTTCTAAAATGTTACATTAA